TTCACTCTCATTATGCGAGAACTTTCAACACAATCTATTTCTCTCTACTTCATTGCCACGGAAACTTGTTTCAGCTTACTTTTGAACTTCCCGACAAACAAATTGTGAACAGTATTGTCCAATGAACATAATCTATTCATTTCAGAATGTTCACGCTAAGGGCCTGGATTGTAAATTCAATCGAAATGGCTACAAGTTAATCTCTTATATACTAATAGTTTTTGCTATTCATGAGCCTAAGCAAGGTCAGGTGTCTTAGCTTCTTAGGAATGAACGATGTCGTAATCGGCTCTTAGTTCCGTAATTGAATGTCAACTTTTTTCAATATTGTCTTTGCCTGCTTAAATTTTAATTGAAAATAAATTATTATCATTAAATTTTTAATTGAATTTTAATTACAAATTTTAATTTTTATGCCCAAAATCATATGTTATTGACTATTTATTTAAGCAAATTTCAGTGAGTTGAATGTTGAAATCTGTGCGACAACCATGCGTTCAGCTTAAAAGAATGTAGGTAGCTCTTGGAAACTCTCAACCTGTAAATACCACCCGTCGGGAAAACTAATCCCAAAGCCACAAATCTGTGCTAGTTTTTAGGCTCAGTGTAGAGTTTCTAATTATCGGCAGGGCCTTGTTAAAAACTTGACATTAGCGTCTCTATATCGTAAGCTATTCCATCAGAACCTCGAGGATTGCAAGGCCAGCTGCAGTTCCCCAGAATTGCTGCTTTTTGTAAGTTAGCGAGCTCGCTGTTGAGGCTATACCTTCTGGTTAAATTATCACATTCGATGAGCTATTTTGAGTCTTAATATAAGGAAAATCTTCAAATTTCGGTCGCTTGCGCCTGTATCTCGTTGAATGTAAGTAAAAACACAACAACATTCCAAGTCACTTCAATGACGCGGCTTTAAAATCATTAAAAGCATATTTCGTAATTTTGAATGAACTCAAATAATTTCTTCTAGCTCGAGTTCTTGTAAATACTCGTGAGTGTGCTTGTTTGTTGTAGCTGTACACGAGTCACTTCAAATCAAGACCCTTTATACCTGCACTACGTATCACTTGTATTTTTCTGAACATTTCTTTACATTAATTACATCCAGAGTTGGGCAGCGCTACTTTGAAATATAGCGGCCGCTACCGCTATATGCTCTAAATGTAGCGGGCGCCACCGCTACATTGCTTTAAATGTTGCGCTGCTACCGCTACCGCTACATGTAGCGCGCTACTGCTCACCTCTGGTAACAATTAACATGTTGACACTAGTAACAGGCTGAGGTTGAGAACATTACACCGAAATCTTTCGTAAAGTTTTATTCTGTAATTTATATTATGTACTTATCATGCTGGTTTTTAAATAATATTTAATATTATTAAGTAAAATCTAAAGGCTTTATCTATAAATTTTGCGGTAGCGCTGTAGCGGCAAAACCTCGTATCGCTACTTAAATATGTAGCGGGCGCTACCGCTACCGCTACATTGTTTTAAATGTAGCGCCGCTACCGCTATTGAAAATGTAGCGGCCGCTACATGTAGCGCGCTACTGCCCACCTCTGAATTTACATCCTTTAATGTTATCAACTAATATTTACCCAGAGAAAATATCATAGGAATTTCAAGTTTTCTTCTCCATATTAATTTTAGAGATATCTGCACACTATGATTTTGTAACTCGGAATAGTTGTGGAAAAATACACATTACAAAACGGTTATTACCATGTAAAAATATTCCATTCATGCTTTAGATAAAGCTGAATAGAAAACGAATAAGTAATCTCCTTTGATTTTACTGATACCTGAAACGATGACTGTTTGAATGTTTAAGCAATCTCAATGATTGATTTTTGTGCAAGTTTATTACCGAATTAAGGAAGCAAGGAGGTCCCTGCCGTCTCCTTTTTCCCGAATGAGTGTGAAAACTGAAGCAATTTCATTCTTGATGGCGTCAAATTTTTTTGTATCCGTGTTGAAATATTTTACTGGGTTGGCTAGAGTGCATCAGAAACGGTACTTTCCTGAGTGAGATTCATTAAGTATCTATGTTTTTGGAGGGCTGTGATACCTATAACTGCTTGTCCCTTAAACCAATCTCAAAAGAATGGGAGGATAGCGATGGAGTCACAGCATTCATATCTTGCTCACTGACAGGTCGGATTTTTATTGGGGTACTGTTTTATTCTCTTCATCATTAGGCCAGGAGCCGGCCTCACATAGAGCAGCTCGATCATTATATGTGAGATTATTTGGCAACTTGCAATGCCATGCAATCGGTCTGATAGCCTAACAGCTTAAAGTCAGGCCAACTTATGGTTTGGAACTTAAGGGTTTAGTGGAAAACTATCAACATTTACAAATGTGTTCTGCGGCTGTTTTCAGTTATTCGAAGGACGGTACGAGGGATATCCGTAGAAGTGTAGATTTTTGATACTATTTTATCCTATTGAGGGGTTCTGTAGAGCATTAAGCTGAAGTCTATTCTTGAAAATACACGAATATCAAGCGCATTATTCAGGATCTGAATTAATTATTGCAAACAATAATTATTGTGAATGACAATTCATGCTGCTCATGCAGAAATGAGAGCGGGAAAATCGGCCCACAGGGCCGATTTCAATTCACCTGCATCTCCACTGTATCAGAATACATATTTGTGACACACAAGCGGGGTACGCAATTTCTGAAACCTCAATTGTGAATTCGAATCTCATTCATTCTACACTGCTGGGCAAAATATCTATGAGCTTCTGCTGCTTCTAAAATTATTGTGAATATATATTTAGTAGGATAATTTTCTTCTGCTCTATACGACGCTATATTATATATATAGCATGAAGCAGCTGTGGCTATTCATACTGTGCTCCTGCTTCTTCTGAAAATTTTTGTTTGTGGTTCTTCAAGTGTTCTCTTTGACTATTTTCGTTTTTCTATTTGAATATTCCGCTAATTGTTAATGCCTTTTGTGTTCGTGCTGAATTTTGGGGGTCCGCGCTTATTCATGTAATTACTGATTTTTCGAGTAAATATGCTCGTGGATGTAGGTGCTACTTTTTGTTGTTCAATTTACTCGCGGCTGTTCAAAGTTCACGCTGTTCAACCAGTTAGTAAAAATAAGTGAAGCAATTTCTCCTTGCCCTGGACCAGGTCCTAGTTGAGATGAAGCCATTATGATTCTATTCCTATCGTTCGATGTCGATCGTTTACCACAAGAGCCTCGCATTATCGACTATCAAGCCTCGTACACCGGACATTATATAAGGCTCTACATGAAGCATCAACGATCGCAAACGAACGTCAAATCACCTCCAGAATTGCCAGCCAAGCCCTGATCGATGCATGTTATCATGTATATATGTATACTCATATATACTTACATGAAGCACATCACGCATGATGCAGTGATACATCACGCATGATAAAGTGTCATATTTACTTAATTTAAATTATGCATTGTTAATTATACTCCCATTTCAAATACGCTTAATTCAATTGGTTCAATTATCGTTCATGTACTAACTAGCCTCCACCTCGTTGAATCGCCTTTGATTAATGTAAATAATAAGAATAAAAAAAATTTCTAGGAGATGCCCTTAGCTGCAAGACTTGCATTGATATGTAGAGCTGCAAGGCAGGCACGCTTGTTCATTATATTGGCATGCGTTGTACTCATAATCATGAAATGCTACTCATGAAGTCATTCCTCTCGACCGTTTATTCTTGGTAAACCAAGTACGGAGTATAAAAAAGTTGTATTTTTACCACCTTTGTTTCAGCTGGAAAAAGGCTTCATAAATGAAGTAGTAGCACAGTTACTTCACGAAATTTATTTTCAATTTACTTTAGTCACTTAATTATGCCTCTTAATAAATTTTTTACTCCCGAATTCATTTGTTAGTATTTTAGCCATTTAATGTTAGTCATTTGTTTATAGTGTTGTGGTGTCCAAGAACTGCAGCTAGGCGCCTTGTTGTTAACCACATGCACTGCAATCCTCGTCATTGGTGTAGCGAATATCGCTGCAATGTAGGGCGGAGACTTGCAAATCCCGAGGTTGCTCGACCGCCAATCACAGGCTATTGCTTACATGCTGCACTCGGTCCAGTGCCATTCTTTTCAGCTCAAACTTTGTAATTTGGGACTAGCGATGCCTGGCTCATCCGTGTTTTCTGCTCATTAGTCGCAAGTCACTTCTAAAATTAGTTTCTTCAATTGCTTTCCAATTTGAAAATAACTTGTTACAGCGCCGAAGCAAAAAGTATGTAACACGTAATTCATCTCTGTAAATCAAATGCTCCTCATTAAACACGGAAAGCTAAAATTAAAAAAAAATCGCTACCCAATATTTTTATATTGTACAGCTTAGTTTAAAAAATTTCTTACTTAAAAATTAGTTAGTTAGCTTAGTTTAAAAATGTGGTAAAATACTTATCAAACACTAGCTGTAGCAATCAGGCGAAGATGTTCTGAATTTCTTATAAATATTTTATAGTTCTCTCGAAAAAGATGCATGATACAAGCGTCTTCCACTCGCACAAGGGTGCAATTGTGCTACTGTTTGGCTGGCGAAAATCTCTCGTCTAGTATTTTTCACATGAACCTTCGTTAATGGTAATATGATGCATTCATTTCCTTGTAACAAACGTTTTCTGTTGACAACTTTGGTTGTTGAAAATGTGCCTTTATTTTTAAGAACTAAATATTCAGGTAGTCCGATTGATTACAATTTAACATCCTATTTTCCTTAACTTGAAAGTTGAAGTTAACACCGTATAGTTAAAAATCAAATTCATTGATTAATATACAGTTGGGAATTTGGAGCCGGATTCATAAATTTCAATTAATGTTGTTGTGTGAAATGTATTAATCGCGGCAACCCTGCTACCACTTTAACTGTTCATTTCTAAATTGCTGCAATTAAAGAACCATCTACCCGGCCACAACGTCACGAAAATACGTCTGCGTCTAAACAATCAGTCTCTATCAACAGATGGTGATGAGGTCAACAAGTGCCTCCATGCAGTCACCTTCAATTTTCAAGCTCGACTCGTTTGCCACCAAACATCTTGGCCAGTCCCTATGAAGAGATAGGGAGTTCGGGAGTGACTGGCGGCGGGATGACGGGGGCCTTCTACGTTGCTACCTTCGGCACGAGTTTTGGACGTCCACCGCTCGGACTATAACGGCGATGGAAGTTTGGCTCGGCGACGTTCACCACACGGCAAAGATCCTATGGACGTCTTAGGTGGGTGGCAGGTGATTGTCGCGCATTACCTTGTTGCCCTTAGAGTCCCATCAGGCATCAACTCTTTCACTCGCTCTTATCTTACCTTCATTTACCGGAGGAATTGAATTGCGCAGTTCTTATCTTCCCTTAAAGCCTTACCAAGCCTTAATTTACCAGCGAACACTGAGCTTCTTTCCCAGTACCATTACCTCGAGTAAAATTTTTCTCACCTAAGATTTTAAACGGTTACCATTATCCCATGTACCTGTGTCATTACCTAGGAATATTTTCTGATACCAACTATGTTTAATATCCGGTTTTAAAATTCTTACCAATTCAAGTTGTTTTGCGTCTCTCATAATTTTGTTATTTTGACAGTTGCACTTCATCCTCCTTTTCGGAACCGCGGGTGGCGGATGGTCGGGGGGAGCGCCACCGACGGGCTTAACCCGTTGTCTTCTCCGACCGCCAGTTTCGCAACAGTTTCATTCATCCGTTTAACAAAAATTCTTCGAATTTAAACTTAATTTATCCCCACTCGCCATAGTTTTCGAAAATAGTAACCTCAAACTTTTAGTCATTCTATGACGTCACAGCAAATTGAACACTCGCTCAGACTCTATAGGTCCGTCATAATGATGCTATACTGAAATCCTCGTGTGTAGGTTTAAATGGGTTACGTGTGAAATTAAAAACTGCAAAAACAATTTTTAAAAATTGAATTATTTAATTTAATTGGTAAAATCATCACGTAACCCGAAATTATCCCAGTTCTCCGTAAGTTCCAAGTAAACCCATGCAGGCGCTTCGGCACTCTGGAGCTTGACTGGAAAGAGGGGCTGCATATAGGCGTATGGTAACCGTAGACTTGTGGCTCTTTTTATCTGCAAGCTTGCGACTTAAACATTTGAGGCTTCAAAACTCACGGCTCTAAGCTCGCATTCGAGTACTTTAAATTAGGGTGCGATGTTCAGTTGTTTTTTATTGCGCACTCTGCCTTTAAAATTCTCGGCTCCGAAGTTCTTAATTCCGATGGTTTTCTTTGTCCTTACTCAATTCTAGTTCATTGATGTAATCAGGTAGCTTATGTATAGAAAACTCAATATTGCTGTATATGCATTGGAGAGAAATATTTGAATTTGAAATTTCTCATTTGAATCGTCACAAACTTACCCAATTGTATCGATTACTTTGCAGGAAACACGATATTGTATGCTTCATGAATGACTATTTAGGATATTAATGCTTATCAGCATCCTACTATATTATATATTCTCTCTTACTGGATGTTGGATCACATTCGGTGGAAATATTTTTATGGATTCAACCTTCAGTCGTCCGTCACTGTTGCAGTTTTGATCATCTAATCAGTAAGACTCTGACAATCTTCGAAAGTTGATAATTAAAAGTACTTAAATTTTTTTAACATTTAACGGAATTTCTAGGGCATAGTATAACATCTTCGGCGTTGAAGAATAGGCCTGGTTAAGCCTGTCGCCGACTGTGTTCTTTTCGTGACTTGTTCACAGATCTAAAAACTGGTCTTTTGACCAGGGTCTTTTCAACAGACGTTGGTTTTATATCTATAATATATTAATATATATTAACTTAGCAAAGCAGGCGTACATATTCGAATTGTTAGGCCTGCAAAACATGGGATTTCCTATCAGTACCTGACGCTAGGTAAACGAACACCAGCTTGGATGACGGCCGAAATAAACTCTGCACCTCAAAAAAAAAGTTTTGGAAGCTCTCAGGCTTCAGTATGCATACTATACTTCGTTGATCCTATGCCACCCGTTGAAACGCCTCGAATGCGTTACTAATAACCGTAATCAAAACACCTTGATTGAAATTCGATTGATGTTGATTATTTTCAATGTTGTATGGGGAAATTCGCAAAACTTTCCTTGCAATAAATATCCGAAAGATAATAATAATAATTAGAAAAACTTGAATTAGCAAGCAACTGTCTGATCCCGTTGCTACTTCTGAACTAAAAAATTATTTGACCACCACTGCTAATGGCATATTGCTAAAGATTTAGGTGCTGTGAAAAATTCGTGGAATGGTAGTATTCTGCTGGCATGCGAGACAACTTGGTTGTGCACCCAAACAACAAAACTTTTTATGTTTTGACTATGATAAAAATATAAAATTTATAAAGTATAAGTTCTTGAGGGAAACACTAAAAAAATGGTTTTGTGGCTTCAATCGTAGCACGAGTTCTAGCTTACTATAGTCTCCGACATTAGCAGGATCACTAAAACGTGATAGCGTAATCCCTGCCTTTTAATCTGGCGACTCGAACGAAATACGGCACTACCGCCCAATTTAAGCTTTCCATCTCTTTTCTTGCTTTAAGTCCATTTCTGAAAAAATTCTATATTGCAGACTCGCAAAATTTCTTTCACGATCCTTGTAAGTATCTAAAAAAACAATTTGGCTTAATTTCTTGAGGAACTTTTGCTTCCAACGAAACCTTTTATAAGACATACCATTCTGAGGATGTGTTTTTTATACGATTAGCAGACGAATTTCCAAATGAGTAAGCCAGTAATTGTTAAGTAAGCTTCACTGTTAATGTGACCTTTTTATAACATGATTGAGCTTATCTCGGCGAACTATATCCCTCACCACTAGAGTTCATGTCTACAACCCGAGCCTGTAAAATTGATGTCTATGCACGGTGCTCTTTTCTTTACCTTCTTTCTTTGATACCTGCTTAAACGATACTTGATTGCGCGCCTCTTAAAAGGGAGCTCCGGGTCGAAAAATGTGCTTTTAATGCAGCCAATAGCTTAATCATATACATATGCGTCCCTCAGTTTGTATGTAGTTTAATTATATATGCGTCCCTCAGTTTGTATGTAGTTTAATTATATATGCGTGCCTCAGTTTGTATGTAAGTCAGCTTAAAAATTGTTGAGAATGTACAATTCCTGACTGTATATGTGCTTCATTCTGTGTAATTATATTCCACTGTGGATAGCACTGTGTAATATGATGCGATACGCACGCTTTGCTGCACGGCCTCATTGACCTCAAGTGCTTTGCCGAGCTGTTCCCTGGGCGCTTGTATGGTTGTTAGGACCACACCAGGAAAAATCGTTATTTATTCTATTTTGTTCAATGAACAATGAATATTACTATTGTTGCAGGATTCCCTTGAAACGAGCACGTTAGAACCAAAACTATACCGTTATGTTGTCCTAGGGATGATTAAATTGTTTTAATAGCATTATTAAGACATACAACATACATGCCTGCTCACGTACGCCCTATATATGATGCATAACGTTCAGATGATAATTTTCCAGGAGAAACCTAAAAACGGTGACTAAATTCTAGATGGTGATTACTAATAAACCAAAAATTCAGATTATCCAATGCGATGAGAATTTATTAAAATATAAAAACAGTATTCAATATCAAAACTAAAAAGGTCATAGTAGGTCTTTGTCAAATTTCTGAAAAGCTCTTGGTATCACCAAACAACAAATTTGATTTTAACAGCAAAGAATACTCTGTCACGTGATGTTGTCCATGCTGACTCAGGTCTAGTACTTTTCTATCAATCGCTACCACGTCTAGTTAATATTACGTCTAAATTACAGATGATCTAATTTTAGAGTATAATTATAATGAATAAATTGAGACGCCTGATCGACACCGGACAGTGGGGCAACGAGCCCAGCGTGTCACGAGGCAAGGCGCCTATGGTGGGTTCATTACCTCTGTTGTGAACGCAACATTTGTTTTAGGATACTAGCTTAATTCTGTGGTCTTGCAAAACCTTTTCGTTCATTCGTCATCTGTCAGCTGCGGAGTAAAGACCGAACTAAGATCAGGAACGAATTTTGGTGAGCCTTAATAGTTCTCATGTTTGAACATTTCTTTGTTGTTTAGAAAGCCTTTGTAAGTACTTGAATATTTTCGAATATTGTTTATAAATTCAATAACCATTTTTTTAATAAATTTTGTATTTGTACCGGTTTATTTCCAAAAACCGTGTCTTCTGGGAATATAAAGCACAAATGAACCCATGGATGCACGCGTATTGAATTAATCCTGCCATAGATAACAGTTGCGCTGTAAGCACTGAATAGTCCGCAACAACCTCTCTGTGACGACTTGTGTCATGCATCATTGCATTTGTCTCAATTAGCTCTTCAAAACTATTATTAGCTTTTCTGAGTTTCTTGAAAATTATTATCAATTATAATTTAAAATTAGTTAGCAACTCATATTTTATATTGAACGATTTGTTTCATTTGCCGCCTCAAGGCAGCAGTTTCTAATTTTTAAATATTTATGACTTGTCTTTCTTTTACAGTAACAACGTGGTGCGCAACTATAGAATGAAGACTAATAAAATCAAATATTCTCACAACAAACTCCACACTAATTTGAAGGAAATTGAGAGTGGCAAATCACCTAAGGCCTCAGAAATACAAAATAAATATCAACTAAAGGAACAAGGACTCGGAAATGAGAAAAGGTAACACACTTTAATAGTTTTATTCAACGCCTGTCAAAAACTGTCTTAGAAAATAGAGTGCGGTCGAAAAAAATTAGCATATGCATTCTGCAGTCGCCGAATCCTGTTAGATAAAAGTGAGAGCTCAGAACATGATGAATGGTCATACTTGGTATTGGGTGAGCCGTTAGTAAATAGCCGATTCGGGAGAAATAGTATAGTATAGTATCTTCGGCATTGACGAATAGGCCTGGATAGGCCTGTTGCCGATTCTGATACTTTTCTTGACTAGACTGGCCTTTTGATCAAATCTTTTCAACGGACGGTAGGTTTAAAATCACTTTTAGATTTTAGTTGTTCTGTAGGATACGAGTCGTTTCGACTTAACATATGCTCCTGCATGGCCATGTCTAGTCTGTTCATGAACGCGTTCACACTCGGAGCGTCAACGATATCTTCAGGGAGGCTGTTCCACATGTCGGTGACTCGAAGCGAGAAGTGTTGTCGCATGGATGAGTTGCAACGCATTTTTTATAGCTGTGGCCCCTGGTGTTGGATCTTGTTTCAAATTCTAGTGATCCTTCTGGGGCTTTGTACAAACCGATGGATAGCGATTGATCCGATGGAAACAAATGGATCCGATGAATGGCGTGCTCAAAATGTGCTCATCAAGATGGGCAGATCACCAAGGCAGGAGATATAGTTCTCAGAACTGTAATAGCGAATAGGATGACCGATATAAATAAGATTTTTTAACAAGCAACACTATGAACTATATGCTTTTTGCAGAATTAGTTGTTTTCTACACTCGAAGTTTCTGCTCATGATTGAACTAGTATAAGGTTGACCCATGAGAAGCTCATTTTCGCGGATGTAGCTCGTTGTTCGCCTGTGACGTCACTGATCTCAATGACATCACGTTCATTAACCAATCACCGAAATGCGTTCAAACCAGTCAACCAATCCGTCATGGAATGACGGGTTTGTTTACGTTTCTCGATCTACGTGACGTAACAAGAAAGCTGAACTGAAAGGC